AAGAAGTGGCTTAGCTGCGCTTTTGACTAATACTGTACTGCAGTGGCCAAAGCTTAACTTTGCTGGGGAATCAGGTCTCTAAGGCTTCCTGAAACGTGCAGAAATCATGCAGTGGGTCTTCTGCTATGCATCAGGGAGAGAAGTAGAGATGTGATGGTGTATTAGAGATATGAGGCTGCACTTATGATCAGTTGCAAATAAGCTGTAAACAAGATTAAACACATTTAGAGAAAATTTGCAGAGTTGGAAACCTCCTCTATTACTGGGGAGGCAGGACTTACAGTTCCCTCTGGGTCCACCAAAAGCAGATGCTTGGCTTGCCCATTGTGCATGCCTGTCAGCACATAGGAGCCAGGATTCGTGGTACTCTTCCTCACGAGGAAGTCTCCACATTTCTTTAACAGCTGTTCTGCTTCTTCCCTGCTCATCTCTCCTTGGTACCACGGCTCTGTACTCAGCTCTTCAGCTACTGTCCAGTCAGCTGGTCTGGATAAAAGAGGACTGGTGCATCTAGTGGAGGTGGATTTACTCAACCCAGCCTCAAATGTTTGTTTTTTGAGGGCGTCTTCAAATGGTTCTAGTTGTGGAAATAGAAACAAGGGCAAGATTTTTCAGAGGTAAATCATGTTACAAAATGATGACATTCCAGTAATTTCTAACGGGATTTATTTTGTGTTATAGACTCTTCCCTTCATCTTTATGAAAAAAAAAAAAAAAAAAAAGGAGAAGATGCACTAGGCCTACTGACTTATGGTTTACATTAAGACCAAGGGGTGTAATGTGTTAAAAATGTATGTTATACACAGAAAGATGCTGATAAAAATCAGAGCAAACCTTGTCAGGAACTTTTGAAAGGTAGTGATTTTATTTCAGTAATGGCTATTGTCAACAGTTGCATTTATATGCCCTGGTACTGGGCAGAGCTCTCCCTTTGTCTTGCCAGCTACGTCAGACAGCTGCATTTCAAGTAAGTTGCATAATATGGGTACAGAATGTCATTATACTCATATCTGGTCTCTTTTCAAGCAACATATTAATTTAAAAATGATCCATTACTGAGTCTCTGGCCCAAAGGTATGTCTAGAAGGGATCAGTTGCCCTTACCACTCAGCCTACCCCTAGCCTTCAACTAGGAAGAGGACTTTGCAATGTAGACACAAAAACCTTTACTGTGATTTACCTAGCTGAAATCAGCCTCAGGGAGCATCTTTTAAACCTCAGCTAAATCCTGAGCTCAGTGTTACTTTCTGTAGAGTAGAATGAAAGTATGTGTCATTACAGATCCCGGCAGTCTTACTGAAATAGTAAATAGGTCAGTGCATGCTTCATTATATGCTGTACCAACCTATTGGAAGCTATTTTCCCTTGCAAGACCTTCATCTGGCCATCTAGTGCATCTTAAAAAGAGATATTGTTCTGTGCCCACTAGACGTAGTGAAGGACATCTGCAGAGCAGTACCATGAAGCGATACACCAGCTCCAAATGGACTGCTCAGATGTGAGGAGTAGCTAGCCATGTTTGCATGGAGCCACAGGGAGGTTAATTCAGAAGTAGGGTAAACACTGTCCTGTCACAGCTTGTTGATACTTCAGCTAATTCTTAAAACCACATATTCTTAATAAAATATGTCTTCATTATGCTGCAGTCTGCACAAAGCCCAACACATGTTTAGCTTGACAAACCACTAACTTAAGGCTAGTTGACACTTTTCTAATACTACATTTCCCCAATGATCCAATCGTCAATAAAGATTAATGAATATGTGTATAAAATAGAGGTAAGCATGTGCATGTTTTAAGGGCATGGCATGTTAGAAATCAAGGTTAACATCCCTGATTTCAGACAGTAGAATTTTCTTGTATCAGATCTATATTCACAGAGACATACTCCCTCAACTTTCTTCCTTCTCCCTTTCTCTCTATCCAAAATCTCCCTAAGCTGTGGAAATAGAGCCTTATCTCAGCAAAAACATCTCAGAAAGACAGTTTAATGTATACAGAGGTAACAGAAATGTAGATACATTATTTTACAATTAACATATAGGCACCAACTGCTTTGTCTCACTGCCTTTTAATTACATTAACTGGATTAAATAAATCATGTGTCAGCAATTGACTGGAGGTACGAAGAATAGAAAAACTAAGAAAATTTTCTGTTCATCAAACTTCTTTCCCCGTATTTCCTGTTAAGTATCTCTTCAAGGCTGAAAACAATGTGCATCAGTAGCACTAACATCAAATTATGACTGATGCTTAAACCATTATGGCTATGGCTATCATTCTGATTTTGGAAAACCTGCCTTCGAAGTTGGAATGAATAGCTAGATAGGATAGTAGGCCTATCCAGAGCAAGGGATAACACAGCCTTTTAATTTCCCTCCCAGCTTCCTTGTTGCACAAAGTTTTTGTAGTATGCATAGATTTCCTAGTAACATATTCACAGGAGAGGCTGGAGCTAATTCTCCATCCATTCGCTCCTTCACTTTCCTGCATGACAAGCCTCCTGATGTGGTTTCCTGTAATGCTAAGGACAACATAGACTGCAACTCAGCTTAACTCAGATATAATACAAACTAGCTTCAAATCTTTGGCCAGATATTTATTTTAAATCTTTGGTCAGATATGAAGCCACCACGAATTCTAAAATTCACCATAACTCCACCACAAATACTAAAATTTGGGGAATTTAAAAATTATTTTTATACACGATAAATGCATAAACATATTGGGTCACATGTTAGAAAGGAAGAGAATAGGAAGGGAACTCACTCATGTCAAACAGATCCTTTCCTGGGCTGCTCTCTTTGGTATCATCTGCTGTTCCACTGAAGGTACCTTCAGCATCTGCCTGAAGTGCCAGTAGAGCTTCTATATTTATATGCTGGGTGTTTACATATGTTGGCATCTCTGCTGTTGGGGTTACTTGTGATTTCCCTTCCAGCATGCTACAAATCTCCAGAGATCCTAGAAAATTCAAGACTTTTTTTTCTTCTTTTTTGTATTTGACAGAACAGTGTTGTAATGATCAAATAACATCACACCCTATCACCACAGGTTTAAAATTCCCTGAAATGGGGGATGTAAAGTCAATAACTTCAGGATCTAGTAGAAAAAAAATGTTGATGAATGGATCCAGAACTGTGTTTCAATAAGGGTTTGGGGGGGAGTGTTATTATTCAGGAGGGAAAGAAAATTTTGTAAATAAAGTCTGTCAGCTTCAAAACTGATACTCAGTTGGGGAGTCATGAGAGGAGGAAATTCAATAAAATCCTCAGATCTGTGCAGATTAACAACAGCTAACATATTCTGGCATTTGAAAATAAAGTGTCCCCGGAAACACAATAAAACTGTCACATAAAGATGGAAGGGGTGAAATTTCACACATATGTTTTGGTGTGATTTGCTTAAAATTCATAGACAACAACAAAAATGCACTATTCTGCGCTATTTGTTAATTGTGGAGCAGAGTTCATGTGCAAACACATGCATTCCTCCACATTTTAAAAAAGCTTCTGACTTCAGGCTCTTCCTTTGGAAACTCCATCTCACATACTCTAGTGGGTCAAATTTTCAGAACAGACCGTGCAGCCCATCTTTAAATACCATGGGGTTTCAAGACAGGGCAAGCTAGACAGCTGAAGGTTTGAGGCAACTCTATTTATGAACTGCCCTGCAAAAGGTAAGATTGCATGAAGGTGTGCATTTAATAATTTATCCAGAGGTAATTACCAAATGCTTTTCACTGATACCAATATTAATTTCAGACAAAGAGAATCTATCAACAAAATGCAGTTCATTGCCTTAAGACTTTGAGGCATTGGACTTTCCCATGCTTTGCCCACCCAAGACATCCTGAAGTCTTACAGCTAAAATTAGCAAAAACGCACCTTGCTTAACAGGCCCATGATGCCAGTCTTCACTGAGTTTATCTCCTAAGTGACGACTCTGGTAATAGGTTTGCTCTCCTCCCACTCCTGCTGCAGACTAGAATGGACACATGTGCAAAGAAATTTTCAATTACCTTTAAAATGCTCAGATGTATTATGAGTGGCTCTGACAATTTCCTTGGCTGTATTCTACGTACTCCCACTCTTCATTTCCAATTCATCATGGTGTCAGAGAATATATCTCACAAATGCATTTGTGTAGGAGTAAGATATCACCGGTGACCTTCATGTAAACTTCCCTGCTTCCTGCTTTTATTAACCCCCACAATCCCAAATTATGCGTCATGTCCTCCAGTACATCTGTCTTCACATAGCAAGCCCTGACAAACCATGCCTGTCAAAAGCATTCTGCAGAAACACACATGGGACCAGAAGACACCCACAACACCCTCCAAAGCATGAGCTGAAAGACACATCAGTACCAGGGGCTGTACTCAGGTACTGAAGGAAGGATGTTGTCTACAGACAAGGCCCCTCTGGATTTAAGCAGAGTTGTGCTGCATCTGAAAACTCCTCTTAGGAGGCTACACTGGTACTGCAAACTTCTGACAGCAATGCTGATAGAAATACCCAAGCTGAACTCTGTTCAATGTGAGGTGCAAAACCTACCTAGGAACCTGTCTGAATACCGATCGCTGCTGAGTTACTAACGTAATAAACTGCTAGCAATGACTGGACTAGATTGTTTAAGTGATTCTGCACCAAATCTTTCCCAGTTAGTGTACACTATTTGATGCTCTCTGAAGCAGACATGGTTTCTACAAATGTAGTAACCCTTAGTGGTTTTCTCTTCCTTGGACCTGTGTAATCTTTTAACACCAAGAAGAGCTCACTTCCTTTTGTTTGTTCTGAACCTGCCTAATTTGTTGCCCCCTAGATTTTTGATGCCCATTCAAAAGGAAACTGGCCACACGTGAAGGGCTGTGAACTATAAAAGTCCCAACGTATCCATCTCAAAATACACATATTTTTAAAATTCTGGATTTTAAAAATTCTGGATACATCAGCAGGAGGGCAGAAATGCAATTGCACTGACCTGAGCTGTATCTGCAGTATTGGGAAGACTTGCTTTGAGCCTGGCATCAATGAAGCCGCCAGGGGGGGGCATTTTATTTGGGATGTTGTTGTAATAGGGATGTTCTGTTGCCTCATTATCTTCCTCCATCCATGGTTCATCAAAACTCTGCATCCTGTAAGAAAGTGAGTGCTTTATTTTGCCCCTTGCTTGCAAAGCACTTACAGATACTTGCAGCATGTTGAAACTGCCTGTCAGGGGATCACTATTGAATATTATTTTGACAATTCAGCTACCATTATAGTCAGGAAGCAATGATGGATTATGCAGCAGACCCTCTGTGTTCAGACAAACTTGATCTAAACCTCCTTTGCAATGCATTAAATTCTTTATGCTGAGTAAAGGATGTTTTCACTTAGCTTTAAAGACCACTATGAACTGCATTAACAAATTTATTTAACCTTACAGTAGCATTAGTAATATTATTACTTGATTGATTGACTAAGCCCTAAAACTTCATCTTTAATTATGGCTGCTCTATCACCAACATAAATCTGGAAGACCTTCACAAAGTCAAGAGATCAGATCTGTGGTTTCAGTGTACATTTAACAGTCATTTACACAAGTCTAAAGTGAGAACAGAATGCTTCCAGATTAGGATAGTAGCATTTTGTATTCACCATACACTCATTTGACTCTGATACAAGAGATTACACAGAGTACCAGCTCACTGAGATTTACACTAATGTTGGCAAGCATATAGCAATCCATGTCAAAACCACAACTCGCCACAGAAAACAGAATGCTATATCCCAAACTTTTAAACATACAAAACCAGATGCATTTTGTATCCTCCAGAGAACAATGCAGTCAGGGCCTCTCTGCAAAACATCACATTCCTAAAAACTTCACTCTGGCTAATATCAGAAATAGTAAAATAGCACTAGTCATTTCAGAAACCCAGCAACTCCAGCTTACTTCATCTAAATTGACAGAGCTGCTATGACAGTAACAACAATGAAGAAATGCCACAAATAATATCCATTCTTGGCCATCCAATTCTGCCTACTAACTACAATGAAAACCACATGATCATTTCAATAACTTTGAAATACATATTTAGCCCATTCTTTTAAAATTACTCTGCTACTTTCATATTCTTTAGTCAAACCCTGCTTTGCTAATTCATCAGAAATCTCTTCTTAAAGTATTTAAATCCTGTCCATCTCCAGCAACTTTGTCCACAGCACATTTCATTAAGTAAATACAAAGCTAAAGAAGATCTTTTAGCAGGCTTCTGCAGTCATACTCACCTGTCATGGATAGTAGGTATCTTAGAGGGGCATCGCAAGTATTGCTTAAATCGAAGTTCAAAAGCTTGCCCTATGGTGCTGATGACATCCTGGGCCAGGCCATCACAGCATTCCAGTATATGACAAGCTAAATGAAAAAGATTTGACACACGCACATGCAAATCATTGTTTATGTTATGGTGGGATGCACTGGCCTATGACAGAACACCTACACGTCAGGCATAGTTGCTCTATTCATACTGTGCACATTTCAACAAAACCCAAAGCCGGCAGAGTGACTTTCAGGCAATATGGTCTTTTTAAAGGTTAAATAACATTGCTCTGGTGTGTAACTACAATAGGCAAGACGACAAAGCAGTTCCGCAATCTTAACAAGTCCCCAAAGACAGGAAATCTCATAAAATTTCACTTGTTCTTACATGAATGCAATAGATTATATGAGAATTCTGAGCTTTAAATTGATATTATAAAAATATTAGTAGACTGTAACAACAACAAAAGCTTCGTTTGCTTTCCTCAATTTTATCACCACTTTAGTTGCATATCTAATCACCCCAAGTTCGCAAGCTGTTCACTGCCTTTCAGTTTCCAGAATTTCCAAAATTACAGGCTGAGGAGCAGTAACTAGGATACTTCCTGAATACTTCCTAGATCCCAGGCCCTGATTTGATTCCAATAACACAGAGGCTCACACCTTTTCCTGCTTGTCTGTATGAAGAGACTCCTAGCAAACTGTGGGATCACTGGGGAGCGCAGTGCCAGGACCCCAGTTAACTCCAGCACTCCCCCATGTGCCACCTCTCTGAACCCACTGTGACAGAGGCCGTAAGGAGAGAGGCTGTTAACATAAGCTCTCTTCCTGTGGGAGACCAAGAAACCTTTATCAGCTGTACAAGCAGCCAAACGCTGGTTTCAAATTAGAGTGTGTCTCAGAGGTATCATCTTATGTGACAACATCAACAGCTGAACTCATGAAGATTTCACCTAACTGCAGGAATGTAGATGGGTGTGGAGAGCTGGAAGCTAAAGATCTGAATGAACAATAGCTTGGTGATATTCAGAAAAGCCCAGGAAAGTTCATTTTCTATATTCAGTGCTGGACAAGCACATGGTCTACTGGCTATAGCCTAGGTTGGATTTGAAACTCTGGTTCTTCTCCAAGCCCTGCCGCAACACAGTGGGACGTTGTTCAAAGTTACTAATTTCTATCACCCTGACAGCTTGAATAACCTGAATATAAATTCTCCAGCTGCAAAACTGCATTTTATTTTATGCCCAGTGTCCAGCTCAGCAGAATCAAGTGCTTTAAATGCCAACAGCCTTCAAATAAGGGTCATGACATTTGCGTGACATAGTTTTAGTTAAAGCAATATAGGGAGAGTAAGGGTGGTTAGTGATGACTTCTCAGAGGCTGATCTGCTGGACAGACTTCTGAAGAGGCCAGAAAAAAGAGCCAAGAAACCTGCGGTTATGCAGGTATGGAATGACCAGGGCACCAAGCTGCCTCTCCCTGAGCAGCAGCAGCACCTCACCCAGCATGAAATGGCTCCAGTCACAGTGTTGCCCTGCCAAATAGATCCAGTGATGCTCTCTTCTCACCTTATAGCATTGCTTTGCCAACCAGTGCCCTGAGGCAATGCCTGATTCAGGGGAAATGTCTTCAGCTGCATGTGGATTCAGCAGCCAAAAACAGGACCTCCATGTGTTCAGAGACAGAGGCAGACATCCTTGGTCAGTGGCAGAATATTTGCTGTTCACCCCCTCTGCACCACTGCTGTCAGTGGTGAACAATCAGCCCCCAGATGAGGTGCAGAATTATCTCCATGAACATGGACCAAAAGTCGTTAGGCCAAACAAAGCTATAATTTTTGCACTCTATAACTCAAGTGGGGATTTAAAGAGGCTACATTGCTCACTGCTAAACCTGTCTGGAGCTGAAATGAAGCATGAGTCATTAAGTAGTTTCAGTAGGTGACATAATGAGCAACCTGTTTCCTTGGATACGTGAATGGACTTTCAGCAGGTAGGAGATGTGCTTCTTGTAAAAGGATGAGAAGGTTTGGTTCACACAGAGGTGATTTCTTGTGAATGTTACAGTGGAAGACAGACAGCCTTTAGTTTGCTAGATCCAGAATAATAAGCATGAAGGGAGCTTTTCCATCCTTGGGAAGAAATGAGTTTAATATGCAAGTGAAAGCTATACTACAGCATCAGCGCTTGTGTCAGCAGATACAGAAGTAAACTTGATCTCACTTTTAAAGTAATTTGCAGATAATACAAAGACTGACAGAATAACCAGTGATGGTGAAAGAGTGCAATACAGATCCCTTGGTAAACTAGACCTCTTAAAAAAATGTGGTTTAATATTGGTCTCATACAAAGTCACTGATCTGCAAACTGCTGAGGTACACACACAAATGAGGAAAGCTCCCATGGAAAGCTGTAACGCAGAAGGCTTAAACATCACAGTGTGAAAGAATTTCACATGAGATAACAGTGCTCCACTGCAGCAAAAAAAGGCTTATGAGAAAATGGCTAATGACAAGGACAAAAGCAATGAAGAACAGGAAGGTGCAGCCTCTGTTACAGATTGCCGACATTAATAGTAGATTACTCCAGGCATCATCTACCTTTTTAAAACAATACAGAAAAACGAAAGAAGGAGGAACAGAAATTATCTGAAGGATGGAGGACATGCACTGCAGCTGGAGACCTACAGAGTTCACTCTGACAAACTTTTCCTGCAGAAAACAGAGAAATTACTTCAACAAAACACACCACAGGATGGCAAACACCAGATGCTTAGATGACTCCTCGATCTAGGACAACTAGACTAGACTAGTTCAACATGGAACAGTGACAGGAAGCTAAGGCTAAACACATTCAACTTAGATATAAGGAACATAGTCCATGAAACAGATTTCATATAAAATCCACTCACACAGAAACAGAAAACAGAGCACAGGGGTCCTCCAAACCCTACAGTGCAAACATCTGGTCTGCAATGTTGGTTCTCTACATTGCCACTGGGATCTCTCAGTACAACTAAATCAGCCACTGTTTTAGCAGAAGGGTACTGCTAAAGCAGCTGGGGTGGAGAGCAGCTTGGCACCATACATCCTACAGTCTGATGGCGGAGCCTTTTAACAAGGGACACATTATGATGGAACACAAAAAGTATAGCAAAGAACTGGACTATCTCACTACCTCCCACTCCCCATAAGTTTTCTAGGTGTTTCACTAATGTTCAATGTATTAGAATGTTTAGTGCAAGTATTATTTGTGAGCTAGCGCTCTCAAGTCTGGACATCTCTGCACATGGACACAACAGATTCCTGAGGTATCTAAAATCATTAAAGGTGGCAGGGAAAAATTTAATGCAATTTAAC